CCCCACACCTCCTGCTCTCTTTACCAGGTCTTGATCCGCTTCCAGCTGCAGAGGAAAGTGATTGTGATCCCCAAATCCGTCACGCCTCAGCGCATTCAGGAGAATTTCCAGGTATATCGCTGAGTAAGGGTTTTTTTTTCCTCATGAGCTGAACTTGTAATCAGCTTTACTAACAGCTTTCGTTTGCTCAGGTGTTTGACTTTGAGTTGACCGAGGAGGAAATGAAAACAATATCAGCGTTCAACAGAAACTGGAGAGTCTGTCCGATGCAATGGTAAAACCACTCTGTTGTATTTTTATTATTTTTTAATTCAGATTCAGAACCTGTGGAAAGGCTCTGCCAGAATGTAGTATACTTAAAGTTAATTTTAATAAGTATACTTGAGTATAAGTTTATGTATATCAAGTATACTAGGCACCATATACTTGTAGTGTACTAGAAAGTATACTGATGTAGTACTTCTTCATACTAAATTGGGACATTTTTGTTTATAAAATGTACACTTTAAGTATATTATGTTTATAAACTTAAAAAGAAGTATACTTTAAGTACATATCATTAGGTACACTAAAGTGTGTATAAAAGTGTATTTCCCTAAGTGTACTTTTATTATTTACCATATACTAGCAGTTTACTAACAAGTAGACTTTTAGGACTAAATTGGCCCAAAATAAATGTATGAAAGTATACTAAGAAGTATACTGAAAGTAATCTTCTAAGAATACTTTTAGTTTAATATTGAAATATACTACAATTAAAGCAGTCTGTGTGAAAATGTACTTTCAGTGTACTAATAAAGTTTATCTTGGTCAAAATGTATAAACATTAGCAACTAAGTATACTTTTACTACAAGCCAAGTATAGTGTAAGATAAACTTGGTTAGGTATATCTCAGAGAAGTACATAAAAAGTAAACTGGAAGTATACTCTTTTATTTTTAGTTTAAAATGAGTATACTTAAAGGATACTTGCATATGCTAGGTTTTGCTAAGGGTTATGTTTCCGTGTGTTTGTGTTTTCAGGGCTGTAAAACACAAGGACTACCCATTCAACTCAGAGTTCTGAGCTGAGCCGTAACGTTCCACAGGTGCTGCTGGAGTCCGCTGCTCCACATTCTCCACGTCCTTCCTGTCTAAATTAATGTTGAATTATTATTTTTTTTTAAGAAGAAGTTGTCTTGGAGCTCAGGTTTATATTTGTTATCTTGTCGCACATCAAATATTGCTGCTGAAGCTTGTTTTTAATGTGGCGTTACAGTAAGTTACTGAAGTACAAAACGTATTTGATGATTTTCATCTAGTTTAAAAGCAACAACTCGTAGCGTTACATTTTAAAATATGACACTTTTTCAAAATACCAGACTTTATATTTTTATAGAAAAAAACGAAACACTCTTTTTTTCTACCATTCTTTCAGAAGCAGCTTATTTTTTTATCAGTCAGAAAAAATGAGTGCTTTAACTCATGTTTGTTCATTTCAGTGCAAAGTTGTAAACATTTCCCTGTAAAACACAGAACATGTGTTACACCTTCTCTTGGACTGAATCATACGTGGCAGTTTGTCGTGTGTTAAAAAGCACTTTGCTTTCACCTCCCATGTTGTGTGTTTATGTGTGTGAAGCACTCCAATAAAATCCTGTGAGAGAAAATAACAAGTCTCTAAGTTTTCTAAGTCGACACGTGAAAATAATTAAGTCCGACGTGAAGATAAATGCAAGAACGTCCTGATCCACAGTGGTTCATTTCCTTCTTCATGGGTTTTATCCACAGTTTGAACACTGACGATCTTTGACATAGTTTTCTGTTTTTTATCAGATGGACTTGTTACATTTTGTGGTTTACTCTTCTATCAAGTTTTGTGGCGTTTTAATAACCGTTATGGAACATCTTGTGCAGAAGTGTGATAGTGCTTTCTGTATATTCTGATTTTACTTCCTGTTCTCTTTCTGTCACACAACATCAGTTCGTTCTTGGTGCTGTCAGATCACAGAGGGCCCTCTCATGAAATCAGTGGTGCTTAGGTTTTTTTTTTTTATTATTATTTTTTTCAGTTTGAAGTACGTAGGCATCGTATAATAATGATTTTAAAGTCATTTAAAGCACACAAGCAAAAAGGTGACGTTTAAAGGTCTGTCTTTCAGGGTTGAACTCTAAAAGAAATGAGGTCTGATAGTTTCACATCAGCCTGAGGGGTGTTCCATGTCGTAATTAGAACAAATACTTTACATAAGTAGAAATTTTGAATATCTGTATTTGAGTAATTATTTTTAGCCTACATTTTACTTCTCCTTACATTAAAAAAAATAATTAGTATAAGTCGTTACTCCTATTTCATTCTGGCTTGTTAAAAATATACTATGCTGGTAAACCGCGCCTTCTGGGTAGAGTGAATATAATTGTGGTTGGATGAGAAGTATACATTTAGTTGTACAATTCTGATACCATATTAGTTTGTACACAGTCAATCACAGCTGTGCATGACACAAAAATCATGTCGCAGTACAGCAGATATGTGTGTCCTATATAAAGATGTCTGGCATATATATGATGTGTGTGTGTGTGTGTGTGTGTGT